TATATATATATATATATATATATATATATATATATATATGACAATTTTTCCTCACGCTGAGGAAAAAAATGTATATTTACTATTAATATATTATTTATAGCTGTTATTTTACATCGAACACTATTTTATTAATACGTGCGATATTGCACACACAGGCGCGCGCGCACACACACACACACACACACACACACACACACACACACACACACATATATATATTACAATGTATCACAAAAGTGAGTACACCCCTCACATTTCTTCAAATATTTAAGTATATCTCTTCATGGGACAGCACTGAAGAATATTTGAATATTTGAAGAAATGTGAGGGGTGTACTTTTATGATACACTATATATATATATATATAATAGATAGATAGATAAAGGCCTAAAGATTCCGTTCATGTCAATACACACACACACACACACACACGCACACACACACATATATATATATTTACATATATTATATATATATATATATATATATATATATATATATATTAGTGGAAATATATATATATATGCAAAATATATAAATACCTATACATATATATATTTTTACAAAAAAACAAAAAAAATTACAAGAGGAAGAATCCAGGTAGAACTCAATGTCTAGGACAGAGTAAGGATATAATAAAATATGTAAAACTATATATATATATATATATATATATATTTATATATATATATATATATATATATATATATATATATATATATATATATATATATATATATATATATAAAACATAATTACAATATATCGCAAATACAGCGCTAAAACTTTGCTCGATGTAATATACCAGAGCTATATATATATATATATATATATATATATATATATATATATATATATATGTGTGTGTGTGTGTGTGTGTGTATTTATGTGTGTGTGTGTGTGTGTCATAATTAATTCATCGAATCTGGAAAAATCGTCAACAGAATGCAGGATGCTTTGATCTGTCTTTTCTTCCTATTTTTGTCACTCAGCAGCTGTGTGCATCTACTAGCGAGAATCGAACCCATACCCACTGAACCAACGGTGATGAAGAGGTAACAACCCAGACTCGATATATTCTAATGCTCCGGATAGAGCTGCTTGGAGACAGAAGTTGTGACTCATGGCGTCACAATCCGTTGGTGTCGGATGAGTCACACGGCAGAATTTGCGAAGACCTGGTGCTACATCGAGAGTTACCTCTCCGTCACTGAGACCCGTTGGGTGCAGGGGGTATGACGCTGATGAGATCCCAAAATAAGACGAAATGGACGTCCAGTGCTTTCTGCATTCTGTTGGGGATTCTTCATTAATTATGATTATTCAAATACCCTTTAATTTATACATACATCTATCTATCTATCTATCTATCTATCTATGGATGTTCATTATCTATCTATCTATCTATCTATCTATCTATCTATCTATCTATCTATGCGATGAGCACTTTAACTTACTGTATAAGTAGGTGTCATTGAGTCACTGTTTTCTTTTTATTTTTTTTGAGAATTTTTTTGTATAAGGTATTAGGTGTGTTCTAGCAAATTGTCAGTTGGTCTTACCAAAACTGTTGAATTTTCAGTGTATATATATATATATATATATATATATATATATATATATATCTACACACCCGACGTGGTGAATTCTCAGGACAATCAAGAAAATATTTCCACAGGCCGGGTTCCTCAAACGAAGTTTTTAGGTCTGATTTGAGATATTTCCCATCAACTTCTGATTGAGATAATGGAGGAAGACTAGTGTTGAAAGTTCATTATTTACATTTTTCGGACTATTGTCCTCATCTTTGTCGCCATATTTATTACAACGTTTCGGCCGTTGTACGCTCCGGCCTTCTTCAGGTGGTTGGAATGTCGAACTTAACCCCTTATTTCGCTCACTGTGGTAGACTTTTTTAGTTCCAAGTGCCATGTTTAATGAATGTCAGTTATCAGTTATCCCCTGTTAATTCCCTTTTCCAAATTCTCCACTGCCTTAACCGGGTATTGAACTCACACTCTTTGGGGCCTGTCACTGGATCTAACCAACGCCTTCATCTACTGTGCCATGTGTCCTTAATGACCCAAAGAATGTGAGTTCAATACCCGGTTAAGGCAGCGGAGAACTTGCTTAAGTCCACGTTGTTTTCCCTTTCCTTCTATCCGACCCGTGAGTATCAGATTCTCCAGGCCCTCCTTCCTCATTATGTGTCCCAGAAACTTCAGCTGCCTCTTTCTGATGTTAAGTATAAGCCTCCTCCTTGTTTGCATCCCCTCTAAGATCTCATTGTTGCTCCTTTTCTTTCTTTTTATGTGCCATGTCCTTTCAGGACGTAGACTATCATGGCTCTCCACCTCCCTCTATCCCTTACAGCTCTAAACAAGTTCCCTCCCTCTGCTTCCTCCCCCAGACCACGTTCTGTCTTCCACTTGCTTAAGCCCGCCAGGTATGTCAGGCGTTGTTTTCCCTTGTTCCTCTTTTCAGGCCCTCCTTTCTCATT